AGAGAGAGAGAGAGAGAGAGAGAGAGAGAGAGAGAGAGAGAGAGAGAGATAAGGTCACACATATGGATAAAATTCATAGCAATTGTATAGGAACTTTTTCCCAGGTAAAAAGATAATTACTGCAGAAAATTGATCTAGAATTTAATTAAAATTATTGATCTAATAGAAAATTAGAAATTCTTTTGTTACAGAATTTTGAATAGCTATTTTTATTATAAAATTCTATCTATACAAAATACTTCCTTTTCGTATATTCTATTTGCTATAGTACCTCTATCATTCATCTAACATAGAAAGTAATACTAACATGAAAAACATATTTTATATAAGACTTTTCAAACGCTCCACGTTTTGGTTGAAACTTGCACGAATTCGACGAGATTCAACGGCAGGATTAATCAGATTAATCGGATCAATCGTCTCTTCATTTCAAATGATCTTATCTTCGGATTCTCTCTAAAATGGATTACATTGAAGTAGACGGTAGAATGAAATTTCCTCGACGGTTGGGCGTAATAACTAATCTCATCAGTTGCAAGTGTATAAAAGGAAAATGCATGTCTGCCGGAGCGCTGAAGGCTCTTAACAGTTAAAGCAGCCGAAGCCAATACTCGCGACGTTGCACCATGCATTCTTTATAGTCATAACCAGACCATGAGTCGTCATCAGATCATGCGATTCACAAAGGGATTAATGTCTCCTCCTATCACATTACTGTTAGAGATCAAGCCAAGACCTGCATTATCGAGGTGCCTTATTAGTGCTCTTTCGCGCTCTCGTTGCGAAAGCGATTATGCTCTTCGAGACGAGAAGGTCGCCGCCAAGTCATAGACAATATCATACACATCCTCGTTTCCATAGTTCGCGTTATCGCTGTGGTCATTGGACATTCCGCGGGTACTATTGTAGAAAGAAGCCAACTCATGTTCGTTTTTACAAACTTTGGTTAACTTAACTGGTTGGTTCTTCCAATGGAATTGATCAACCACATTTCTTATTAGTCAGACTTGATAGATGCTATTGGTCAATTCCGTTGGAACAACCAGCCGATTAAGTTAACCAAAGTTGGTAGAAATGGGCATTAATTCATTATTTTCCTTGACGCGTAAAGAACCGAGGATGCATCGGCTAAATCCCATCGTGTTGTGCGCACTTCTACTGGTGATCGCCTACGCGGCGGAAAATCAGAGCAATTCCACTCATGAAGACAAGCAGCAGAATGACACGATGCACTATGAGTCTCAAGTGAACTTCACCACTACTTTGAACCACGACGAGAATTCCACGAGAGACAACGAGGACTCGGTACAGCATGAGTTTTATAGCAACTACACGAAGAACCTCGATGAGAATGACAGTCAGAATGTGACGGCCGAGCTTCGCGACAATTCTACAGAGATTAACGACGGAGGCAACTCTACCACGTCGCAGCTTCGCCCAGGAAGCAATTTGAACGAAACGAATTCCAACATCTGCAATGTCACATTCTGTATACCAATTTGTTGCGAACCCGGCAATCGTATGATCCATGTCGGAGACAAGTGGAAATGCAAGCCCGATGACAGTAATTATGATTTCCCGGAGGTGCAGGGGACAAGCAAGAAGGCGGACGAGATTTTTCCACTGTACGTATCAGATCCATGTACCAATGAAATGCGCTACGCGCTCGATATCTCCTTATATGTCACCGACGAGTACATAATTCTGACCAACGGTTCTTTGTACCTAACGCTAAAGGACAAATTGATGGATCCGACAACTTACTGCTACGCCGTCATGAACAAGAGTAAATACGTGCCGACCTTCTGCTTCGATGAACCAAGTCCGCCCATCGATGGCGTGGATTTCACCGGTATACCCATCGGTATCATAGTGTCCTTGCCGTTCCTGCTGTTGACCTTCGTGGTGTACACCATACTACCGGACCTCTGGAACATGCATGGCTACACACTTCGCGGATACGTCGGCTCGTTATTCGTCGCGTACATATCCCTCGTGCCGTTCCATCTGATATCGCCTAACGATTTGTCGGATGCAGCCTGCAGTGGATCGGGTACAGTTTGAAGAGACCGTATAATCGGTTAATACAACTGACATGTATATCTTTTATGCTCGACTGTATTTTCGCTCTTGCTTCGTCGTATATTACTCTCTGATGACTGAGGAATTAATTAGGGCTTTAGAATAGTACTCTCTAAATTCCTTGGAGTAGGATTTCACTCGAAAAGCGCAGACTGAGCACAGAATCACTCCGATACGAGTGATTTTTCACTGAAACGGAGTGAATTCTCCACTCTGCATTGTCAAGTGGAGTCGAGTGGTATGGAGTATTTTCACTCGAAATTCAAGAATGAGTCTAATGTTATTTCACTGTCACAGAGATGTATTTACTCTGATCGATTGAAATATATTCTTGTATAGAATCATAATTTACTATAAGCTAGAAAGAAAGAAAACATTCCATGAAAGTAATGGAGTTTCATGATTAATATATGACCATACAAAATTTGACAGATACAAAATGACAGATACATAATTTGTACATGGGACATACAAGATGTTTTTCAAGTATTAAAAATGCAGGAGGTAATCCTTCACATTAAGATAAGAAAAAAGATTTATATGTTCTAAAATGTTTCATTTCCGAGATACACATCCCGGAAAAGTTGGCTAAAAAAGACTTTTTTGCTAATAAATAGACAACGGTCTAACGTAAAAACGTTTAATTTTATGTTTAACGTCTGGTATTAATAGTGGGTCATACTTTGAGATGGTTTTCGTCCCCATAAAATAAAGTTTGAAAATTAGGGATGGTTACTCTTATTTTGCATCACTTTTTTTAATTTCCACAGATAGAGCGAATACGGTCTTATTTTCAGAATCCTCTGACATTTGTACACAAAAAAGATATTTTTGTCAAAATTCGCTAGCACGCACTATTATCGAAGAAAATGTGTTTTATCTTTGACAGAATAAAACTGAATAAATAAAGTATTACTTTTTTTTGCTTACATAAAAAATAAGAAAATTTGAATTTTTGTATTTTAACGTTGCCTTTTTATTCGTAAAAAAATAATTTTACTTTTCAGCTACTCCTTTCGAGTAATATTCAAGTAGCAGGACGTCAAATAACGTATCAATGACTGAATATTATTGATGTTAAAAATGACAATAATACATCCCTAAAATGTTATTTGACATTATCATATTTACTGAATATATCATAAAAATAAAGCATTTTAGACCATACGTTTATATGTATGTTTTTTTTTAATTTTGATGAGAAGAATCATCTCCAGCATTTTTTACATGTACACTAGGATTCATTAATGCCTTTACCTTTCCGGTATTTGGAGAATTGGACTTTTTCGATCTGGCGCATCGTTTCTCAGTAAGCATGAACAGTGACTGTTAGTTAATCGTTAGTTCTTTCAGTAACTAACAATCACGATTCACATTTACTGAGAAAAGATGCGCCAGATCAAAAAGTCCAATTCTCCAGATCCGGAATGTAAAGGCATTTATGAATCCGAGTGTACTTAGGAAACATCTTATATATAATTGTATATAATATATATATATATATATAATTATATACATTTTTTGTTTAGGTATTCAGGTATTCGTTTCAATCGATTGAAACACTCGGTCGTGTGAAGTCACAATCCACTTAAAGTTCGAGTAGAGTACTCACTCTTGTTATTTCGAATGGCAATATTTTCACTATCGTTTTGAATAAAAATACTACCACTTTTTATTCATTTGAAATAATCTTTCACTACAAGAAATTTAGAGTAGTACGGGAGTAGTAGTAAGTAATAGATGAAATTTCAGTTTCGCATGCGTGCCATACAGAAATATGTTAGGTTGGTGCGAAAGGTTTGTCGTGTTTGTCAAGGGAAATAGAACACAAAATGATCCAATTTCGAGGAATTAATAAGGGGTACAAATAAAATGGATAACATCGACTCGGTATTCTTTCAGACATCTAACGAGGACTTTCTTATTTTCCTCCTAATACCCAAATTTTCCCGGAGAATTTAATAGGAAAACGACAAATCTTTTGACACCAATGCATCAATATAGATTCTTCTTTTTCTTATCGTAACTTTGCAAGATACATGTATCTCTAATGAAAGATTTCTTTTCATTTGATGTAAGCACGCACTTGTTACATATTTATCGCGACCTTTTCCCACGAGTTTCCGATACAGAGGAAAAATATACAGTGTAGTTTTCACGGTCGAATAATAACTGCAAGGCTTTCTTGCACTTGTATAATGTAGCTTGATTTTGAGACGCTATTTATTTGCCTGTTTCAGCCTTCGTCATTTACTTCTCGTTCCAGGCGAGCTTCTTCTGGCTGAACGTGATGTGTTTTGACATTTGGTGGACGTTTAGGTAAGTGGCAAGAGACCCTCGAGCTATATATTTCATCTCGCAATTTTATCGAGTTGTATATAAGCAGACGAATCACGGTGATTGTGATGCGTATGTGTGAATGTGTGACCTTCGCAGTATTTCTAGAATGTCTTGAAACTGGATACTAAAATGATAGAACGTTTTGTGTCAGAAATTTGAATACCAGTTACCTTGTGAGATAACATTCGAATAAGGTAAACGACCAACTTATCGATCTTTTAAGAACAGTAAGGACAGTTATTCTTTATTTATGGAAGCAATATCAGATGAAATTGATAACAAATAGTTCTATCGCGTAATTAATGTTTTCTGCATAAGATACGTCTGCTTTGTAAGTATATATATGTAAATAAATGTTAGTATATATATGTAAATAAATATAGAAATTACTATAAAGTTATATATTTAAAAATACTAGTTCACTGCCGGTGTTTTCGATCGTCTGAAAATACCGATGTCGCTGTCAAATCGATTTTTTTACGAATTTTCGGAGAACGAATGATCTTATGAGTCTCATACTCTAGAACTATAATTCTTAAGCCTAGAACAACTTAGAACAAAAAGATCTCGGTTGGAACAAGAAAGATAGTATAAGTTTACTCTTGGTCCGATAGACTGTTTGTCAAAAAACTTTTTTTTAATTTTTCGGGCTTATAATTAAACTTATTGATTTGTGCTTTTGGAACAATGTTTGGAACAACTAGAACAATCTATATCGGTATCGGAATGCTTTATTTTCAAAAAATAGGGTGCCAGGTCAAAAACATTTCTTTCATTTTTTGGACTTATAATTCAACTTACGGATTTGTCCTTTTGGAACAATGTTTGGAACAACTAGAACAATCTATTGCGGTATCAGAATGTTCGATTTTCGAAAAGTGGG